GAGTTCGCTACAGAGCTGGCTGCCCTTGGCGGTTCAGTGCCAGGCTTCTCTAGTCTTATGAGGAGAAGAAACCAGCACTCTGAGGTGCTGTGGTACCTCCATCAATCTGTGGCCTTGAGATTCCAGAGCAGTTGGGCCGTGTGTGGCTTCCATCTGAGAGCCTGACTCACCCTTACGCTACACAGCTGCTAGTCGGAGAGCTTGGGCCCAAAGGCAGAGGGGGAAACTGAGGCAAGTCTCCAATTTCACTTAGGAAAAGCAAGGCCTGCAAGCTACGGCCAGGATGGTTCCCATCTTTCCAGAGAGTGAGCTTCCCTTTGCTTTGGCGACATATGCAAAGCAGAGAGCAGTCCCTCTCCCAGAGAAGGCCTTAACAGAGGGCAGCAGCACCTGAAAGGCTGCCGGGAACCCTGCCACCAGTGTGCCCTCACCCCAAGAAGTAGACTTCCCAACACACCTCTGCCATGAGCAACGCTGGCTATACAGAGAGTTGGCAGAGTCTGGCTTCCCTGTGGATCCTGGCCCAGGAGGAGCGAGCTGGGCCCGCAGGAGGGTGCGCGTGCGGGGTGGTCGGCATTAACCTCTCTCTCCTTCTCTTTTGCAGCTATGTCTGGGCTGGTAGTCCCGCCCATGTGAGGGACTCTGTTTACCTTCACAGCACCCAGCATCCAAGGACGGACTTCAGGGGACACATGTAGTGTGCTAAGACATGCTGATGGAAACGATACCTTCAAAACTAAACATCAGCAGCGGTTGAATGCTACAAAAGACATTTAAAGATTTTATTTAAACTGTTAAGAACCAACACGCGAACAAAGCCTACTTCTTCATGAACAATTCCATTTTATTGACTGAACTTTTCTCATATTTTCACATTTCTCAGTCCTGAAGATTAAGGAAAACAAAGCGACGCCTATTTTGTATAAAGTTTCTGATTCCGTCTTGGCTGTCTAGTGCGTGCTATCTGTGTGGGGAGAAGCTTCGTGAATATGCACCATTTTGATGCCCATGCAACACTGAGGAAGAAAAGCCTCGAAACATTTTTCTGTACTCATATTTAGATTCACAATGGTTGTGTATCTCTATAATGTGAAATATTTTTTTGTGGTGAAAAAAAGGGGGCCAAGGAGGTATGAGCCATTAACTGGAACAGAGGAGGATATGACTAGGTGAATTTCGGGGTGGCGGGGAGGGAGGGAGGGAGGGTTTATCATTGCTTAACTTCATCTTAATGAAATGAAACTTTGTAACTTATTGTAGTTAGAAATTGTAACTTTGATATCGAATCTCTTGCCTTCAACAAGCACACTGACAGAGAAAAAAAACTATGCTACTGTCTGTTGGTTCCAATATTCTCCCACCTAGAGCTTCCTGTTAAAGCAAGTGCGATCGGCAACATTTTTTCAACTTTTGCGCACTGTAAACCTATTGCATTCTTAGGCTACTGTGAGGTCTATGTTTCTTGTACATGAAATTGTCCTTTTGACTTCTAGACCCTTCTTCCCCGATGTGTTTTGTATGTGGTTATAAAATTGTAGACTTTTGTGATTTTGCCAAAGTTGTAGCTAAATATTTATACACTTGTCTTGAATTTTTTTCAGATCCACTTAAAATATTTAGAAAAACGAGTTTTATTCCTTATGCGTCTTATAAGGGATAAAATGCTCTTTCATGCGACACTTCCTTTCCCATGAACACTTGCAATTGCTAAGGGACTTTATTTTGTAACATATCAATTATAAATATTGTATTTATCTTTGAAATTTTGTACATTGCTTTCCCCGCCTTCTTTTCTCACGTCTGTGTTGGTGTTTGATCCCGCCCAGTGCTGTCTGTCACACAGGGAAAGAACAGACACCAAGAACTGTCTCTCTGATCTGTTTTGTTAAAACGAGTCAATGTCCTCCCATTTCATTTGTACCTAAACCATTCGCTATTGTTTGGACTTTCCATCCCTTTTTTTATGTTGAGGAAAAGTCAAATTCATTGTTTATTTTTATATTATTTTTAAGTTATCTGAACAAATACTTTTGAGAAGAAAAGTTTGTTGTATAGTCAGAAGCAGACGGTGCCAGCGGCCGCGGAAAATCCTAGTAGATCCTGTGCATGTGGAGCGACCGTGAAGGGGCCACACCGTCCGGGCTGGCTCCTTAGTTTAGTTTTTATTTTTAATTGTTTTTTTTTTTTTTTGTAGAATGTAAAAAAAAAAAAGTCATTTTAGCTGCCACCTAGGACTTTGCCACATAGCTGAACTGTGTTTACTGGAAAAATTCAGAGGCCTAAAGTTTAAAATAAAATTTACTTCTGATGTTTTAATTACAAATGTTTGCCACATTAACTTCCTCTGATGCCTTAAAAGTGAACTTCTTCAAAGAACCTCTGTGCTACTTTATCACAGGCTTATACCACAATCGTTAACATTTGGAGACTGATGATGAACTCACACAGAATACACACACATACACATACAAACACACAGCACACATACAACACACAACACACACACATACAACATGCACATACAACACACACATGCACACAGTACACACACATACATACACACACAAACACACACCACACACACACACACACACAAACACCCCAAAAGCACAAACTTTCAGTCCGTCAGTCACTCCTTCCTGCATCTGTCTGCTGCTTCTGACCACTCAAGCTCACCCCGATGTTAGAGAGGTGTCATGGGAACACGGCTGGTCTTTTTTTTTTTTTTTTTTATTTTAAACAATACCTGTTTGTGGTCAGATCCAACAGCACAGTCTGTACTTTCTTAACTGGAAAGACCTCCTTCAGACACTGTGCCTGTGAGTGCCAAATCCACCGTGAGACCAAGAGTCAGAATTACTTTTTCTTTTTCTTTCACACCCATTGCCCTTGCAGAGAGCACACACTTTGTAAGCAGCAGCAGAAGTCATATTAAAAACAAAAAGGAGGGAATTTTCCAACATCAGACACACACACACAAGGAAACCATGTGTAACTTAGAACGTGTCCATTCAAGGGACTCAATAAGACAAACAATGTCCCCAGTGGTCAGTGGGTCACACTCTGGCTTTGTGACTCCTGACAGGGTGTAGCTACATGGAACAGCCTGAGAAGTCACTTTGGAACTAAATTGCCTCGATTTATTTTGTGTAAGTAAGGGTTTGACCTAAAAAGAACTCACGCGCACATTAGCAAGTATCCTCATGCCCGCACCCGGTTTGTGTTGTAGACCGACTAGTCGGTGCCCTCATGGCTTCATTGTGTCAAAAAACGAGAGCTTCACTAAATGGTAGATTTTGCTGTCAGAGACCCTACAATAAGATTGTTTTATCTGTACATTTTTTCAGATATTTAACTGTATAAAAATGTTCATTTTACACAATATTTAATTAAAGTATTTCTTGTCTGTGAATTTCACTTTTGGTAATTTTATCTGTTTGCCTATTAAAATGACTGACAAATGAATTGGGGATTTCATTTCCACATCCTGGGCCCCAGAGCTAGGGCTCACCAAGATCCAAAGGACTTCGAAGAACCTTCCAGAGTTTTCAACCCTCAATGGGCACAATTCCTACAGTGGCTGTGATGCTACAGGTACCGTAGGAATACGTGATACCCACACACTCAGGCCTGGACTGTTTCTGTCACAGCCACTTGGGCCACAACACCATGGGGCGGGGGAGGGGAGAGTCCTGCAAATGGTCCTGTGGTTGGGGGAGGCGTGGGCACAGAGGCGTTTTGCACTGGCCACTGGAGGCTCCACATAGATGGAGGCCAAGGCTGGGACTCCGGCGAGCTCAGCCATCAGCACCAGTTCTGGTTCACACAGCCCCTGCGCGGCTCCGCTACCCCATTCTGTCTCACCGGCACTTCCCATTTTCTCCTCAATGAGAGGCAGGCTTTACATGTTTTGGCTTGCGGTTCTGTCACACAGTCACGTAAGTGTGATCTAAATTAGTACTCACGGATGTCATCTTAATTACTTGTTCTGCTGAGCAAAACAGGAAACAATTATTCCAAACATAAAGAAACTTGTGAATACCTTTCTCTCTCGTCAGTGACGAGCCTTTGCCGGCTGGCCTTAAAGAGACAGTAAAGGAATAGGTTCCTATTGGCACAAAGCACACTTAAGATGGCCAGTCCCCTGTCACCAGGGCTGGGGAAGGTGTTGCCCAAAGCCAACTTCATCCCTTTGAGGTGGGACCAGGAACTCTGCTCAGGTTTTTGGAGCTCGTGTGCCAGGTTCTGTTGACCTCGGCAGAGAGAAGTTCAAATGCTTGGGTTTCAAACCAGAAGCAAGAACCGATTCTCTCAAAAGCGAATGCCGAGTATTGTCAGGGCTCCCTTTAAGGTCTTTCAAGCTTTTAAAGATTATTCAAAGCACTTGAAATGGGCTTCAATCTAATGCCTCATTTCATTGCATTAAACAGCCTAGTTAATAAAGAATCAATATATTCAAAGGGCAAGGTTATCTTTTGTCTATAAGGGGTGGTGTCGTGCTGAACCTTTTATAGTTCAAATGCTGAAAAAGACCTCGTGAAATCCATACTCATCAAGTGGGTCAACGAGAGCAATAAAGAGGCCCCTGAAAGGAAAGAAAGGCTGCTCCGCTTTGAAACAACTCCGGCCCTTATCTCCCCTGCTCGGAGAACCCAAAGAAGTCCTCCGAAAATGTCAATTTCTCATCAAGACAAGGGGCCACGATGATCATTTTCTCAGAGAATACATACAATTAGGAGAACTCCGAGAGGCATGGCGTGGATTCCTAGCTTATTCTGGCCCCACGAGCTTGGAGCGCCCTCCCCACAGATAAAAAAAAAAGGGACTGTTGATAACTGAAGTGTCAATACGCACGAAGAGTGAGTTTTGAATGTGAGTCCTTGTGCTTTGAGCCCGCCCGGGCCGATCCCAGGCCCTGATAACGACACAGCTGCCAGCAGACACCGCGGGCTGGCCCTTACAATTAACGCCATGAATAAATCACACAAAAGAGTGGGGAATGCTTTATACCGGGTGAGACAATCCCCTGTTTTACCCTTCAAGGATTCTTTTTATGTTGGAATAAGGTTGCTTTTAATGAAATTTAAACTCATCAGAGGAAATCAAAAACCTCCAATCAGATTACAAATTGATTTTTTTGGTCATTTGTCATGTCCCAGCATAGAGCCGCTGGTTTCACAGGGAGCCAGTTGCTGAGGTGGGTTGGGAGGAAGGGTGGACCAGCTCCCAACCTCAGTGGCTCTATACCCTACCCCTGCCCTGGAGAAAATGGGAGGCGGGCAGAGATTCTTAGTAGAGAAGAAGGTGGCTATGAGCCCATGGGTCAACTAGTCCCCACAAACCAGACCCCCAACTAGGACCAAGCAGTTCTGAATCCACCATCACTAAGTAAGCTGGGAGTAGGGGAGGCCATCCTTGGCAGGACTCGGTGGCCCCTACATCTAGTTTGACTTTAAAGCTCTATGGACAGCCTATATTTTGCAACTGTCAATGGCTGATTTATGGCTCAGGGGCTCACAGAACACCTTTGGGGTCACTTAGTGCTCTAAGGGACTCTGTGTGAGCCTGTGCTCCATGTCTAGTGTGTGAAGCTCTAGGTTCGATCCCCAGGACCTCCAAATAAAGAGATACAGCAAGGCTGGGTGACTTGCTTAGGGACCAAAGCTAGAAGCCAAATGCAATCGCATTGGCCTCCAAACCCTTTGTCTTTCCCACTGAGTGAAGTCTCCAACATCCTTAAGAGTTAAAGAGAAAAAGAATTTGAATGAGAAAGGGGAGAGAGTCGATTTCCAAGGATCCCAACCAATCCACCCATCATGGAGGACTCTGTTCCTTTCAGGCCATCCGATCAGACTGTAAGAGTTTTCTCTTACTAGTTCAGCACACTCCAGAGGTCTCTAGAGGGTTTACTTCAATCAATGGTACACATCCTTACTCCCCAGGCTTGGGTTGAAGGCTCTTCTTCTTCTTTGGAGCCTTGGTAGCATCCGCAGTGTATGGGGGCCAGGAGGAAGAAACTTGGTCACATGATGCAGGTACAGAAGGGTGATGTGTTCAGGTTCCCTGAGACCACACCAGAGGGACTGGGCAGCAAAGGTTTAGCCTGGAAGCCACAATTAGGAAGGGGTCAGCACAAACTGGCTTCTGTCAGTGCTGCAAGGCATAGAATGAAAAGGGAAAATGGGAGTCACTGGGTCGGTGGCAGAGTTGGAACGAGTTCTACCAGAGCCAGAGGTGTAGAAAGCACAAGAAACAAAGGTTATGGAGAGGCCATGCTGTCTTCCTGACCCACCAGATCACTCCCCCTCACAAGGCTGAGATGATGGTGGGTTCTGAACCGTGGGTCCTGGCTGTAGCTCACACAGCTATTGTCGGGCAAGACCCAGACAAAGCTGAGCTCAAGACTTGGGTCTCCTCCTGTGAAGAGCAAACTCTTTCCTGCTGCATGGACCCTGATTAGGGTGCTGGCAGAGCACAGGGCCCGAGTGGGGTGCCCAGCAAAGACAGAAAAGACACAACCAGAGGTTTTATCTCCAGTCAAGCGTGAGCATTTGCGAATCAGTAAGACTCACGAACTACCTTTCTAAAAGGGCAACTTCCGCACCGATTCATAAGGGAAAGACAGAGGTGATCAAAACCCAACCCATATCAAATGCGTATAAAATGCCATAAAGAAACCTGCTACTTTGGAAGCTATGGTGAAGTTAAAGGGAAAGAGGTTCCCTGAACTTCTTGAGAAGAAGTAGAAAGAGTTTAAAGTGGGTAAACAAACAAGCATAAAATTGGGGAAAAAATATTGTAGAAACAATTCAAAGCCTAACTGAACAAAGAGGAAATGGCCAGCATTAGCCATCAATGGGATATGGACTTTTACTGAGTGTCTGGGGTAGACATCTATAGTCTTAAAACATCCACATCCTGTACATTATTGCATGGACAGACTTACACATCCAGAGAGTAATGGTCAATAGAAGTTTTCTTAAGGAAAAAAGAGAAATACCTAGGCAACTATGTTCAACCTCGCTTAAAAGGCATATTACATGTATGATAATCTGACTTAAAAGGCATATTCCATGTACCCAAATATGACTTAAAAAGCATATTACATACACCCAAATCTGACTTATGAGGCGTATTACATGCACCCAAATCGGACCTAAAAGGCATATTACACGTACTCAAATGGCTGCAATCAGGATGTCTTAGTTAGCTGAGGTAGGGTTTCTCTTCCTGTGAAGACACATCATTACTAGGGGAACTCATTTATTTATTTATTTATTTATTTATTTATTTATTTATTTTGAGTTTCTTGAGACAGTTTTTTTCCCCTATAACTGCCATGGGCTGTCCTTGAACTCACTTTGTAGACCACGACTGGCTTCAAACTCACGGACTCTTATAAAGGAAAACCATTTAATTGGAGTGGCTTACATTTCCAGAGGTCTAGTCCATTACCATCATGGTGCGACATGGTGGCATGCAGGCAGACGTGGTGCTGGAGAAGGAGCCGAGTGTCCTGCATCTTGGGTTCAGGCAGCAGGAAGTGGTCTGTGACACTGGGCATGGCTTGAACATATGTGAGATTTCCAAGTCGGCCTCCACAATGACACACTTTCTCCAACAAGGCCATACCTTCTCCCACAAAGTCACTCCTCATAATAGTGTCACTCCACGGGTGTGTGTGTGTGTGTGGCATTTTCCTTCAAATTACCATACAGGATCAGCAATTAGGTTCTGGTGTAGTCATATAATGGGATATTAGAGGTTCTACCAAGCTCTGAAGATCCTGTTTTGAGGTATGTTTCAGGAAATGATAAATACCAATGACATAAAATGAGGTTGTTTAAGCGTATAGTGTTTTGACTATAACATAATTCCCATCTGTAAATTTCTAAAGAAAAGGCCAGAAGGACACAACTAAACATTAAAATGATGAGATAACTGTTTTCCATTCACTAAACCAGAAAAAGCACTTCTTTTAAAAACGGGTGCTCAATGCTCGTGGTGGAGAAATGGACATTCTCCTAGAGCTCTCAGTACTCCTACACACTCTCTGAAAACCAACCGGACTTTGCATCGAGACCTAAGTGCTCACAGCCTTTTGACTCAATAATTCCATTTCTAGAAATCAATTCCAAGGAAGTAATCAGAGATTGGCCAAGACCCTAAGTGCATGAACCTTTCCGAACACTGTATTTATTAAAAACTGGAAAGCACCCAAATGGCTGAAAACAGGAGCAGTAATTAGGTTCTGATATAGTCATATAATAGTGTATCATAAGTTCTACCAGGCTATGAAGATCACATTTTAAAGTATATTTCATGAAATCATAAGCACCAATGACATAAAATTAAGGTACGTAAGTCTAGTGCCTTGAGTATAACACGATTTCATCTGTAAATTTCTAGAGAGAAGACCAGAAGGATGCATCCAATCACAAGTATCTGAAAAATAGTTGTCAGAATTACATCAAAATCCCCTCTGGCTATGAGAGGCAAAAAATTTATATATTATAACCCCATTTTCCATTTACTCTTAGCCTTAAACCTAAAAAGTGATACTATCTATATTTTCCAAATTTTCTACAAAATAGACAGGCAGGTTGGATCTCTGAGAACATGTCTCTCCATGTCACAAGTGAAAAGAGCTCATATTCCTAGGCAGCAGGACAGAGGCCTTTAGGGGGCCAAAAGAAATAAAGATCCCATTCCCTTCAGATGGTCTCCCAGTTTGTGCACCATGGCTGCAATGCCTCAGAAAAAAAAATGAGACATTGAACCCCACAGTGGCTTTCAGGACCTGATGGCAAGACAGAACTCCTTACAGGGGACTACTACCGAGAATTTGGGACATCTCCTCAAAGCCCTGCCCTTTATTTCTTCATTTCTTAATGAATTTTACTTTATGTTAGGCTTATTTATTTCTATTGTATGTCTCCTATGTTTCGTCTATTACCAAATGTGCGCCTGGTGCCTCCAGAGGGTGTTGAGTCCCTTGGGACTAGCATTACAGAGAGTTGTGGGCCATTAGATAGGGGGTAGGGACCTGACTCAGGTCTTCTGCAATAGCAGCCAGTGCTCTTGACTGCTGAGCTGTCTTTCCAGCCTGTGTTTTAGTTTTGAATACAGTTAGGTGATGGAGGAGGGTCATCTTTCTATCTGTTGTTTCATTGGTTAAGTAATAAAGAAACTGCTTGGCCTCTGATAGGGTAGAATTTAGATAGGCGGAGTAAACAGAACAGAATGCTGGGAGAAAGAAGCTGAGTCAGGCAGTCACCATGATTCTCCCACTCCAGGCAGACGCAGGGTAAGATCTTTCCTGGTAAGCCAGTCGTGGGCTACACAGATTATTAAAAATGGGTTAGGTCAATATGTAAGAGCTAGCCAATAAGAGGCTGGAACTAATGGGCCAGGCAGTGTTTAAAAGAATACAGTTTCCATGTAATTATTTCGGGGCATAAGCTAGCCATGCGGGCAGCCGGGTGCCGGGGACGCAGCCCGCAGCCCCCTATCACAACAGTTAGGGAGATCTAAATATATTCAAGGTGTTCTGTAATCACAGGTGGGTCTGTAGCGTTTGCTGCCATGGTAACCCTCACATTGACACTGCGGATTCTGGGTGATCTCTTTGCAATCACAGATGATTTCTTTGAAGAAGTGGACAAGAGGACCCTAAGGGTCACCATAACAATCTCCCACCAGACAGAGAACAATGAAGATGATCTTGGACAAGAAGGAAAAGTGGAGCTCCTCCCGCTCTCCCCCTCCATTCCAAAACATCCAAGCAAAATCAGTCAAGATAGTGAGCTGCTGGCAAGGGGATGCATGTTGCCCCATGTGGCTGAACTGGGAGAGGATGTACAAAGTCCCGAGAAGCATGTGAAAGACCAGTTATCAGGGAAATGCCAGTCAAACTAAATGGAGTCAGTACTTAGAGCCAACAGGACCTACTACAGCCCTGTATGAGGGTGGGAACCAGAGCTCTCTGCTGCTGGTCGGATTGTGAACAGTGCAGCCGCATGGGAAGATGCGCCAGCAGCTTCTCCAAGAGTAAAGCACAGAACTACTAATGGCCCAGTATTTCCAGGTCCAGCTCAGACCCAAGAGACGCGAAAAGGACATGTCCACGGAAATCTTGCACATCACAGCAGTGCATGCACCAGCCAACAGGCAGATACAGCTATACGATAAGGATAGGATTCAACCATGAAAAGAATGACATGCTAAAACATGCCATAACACAGATAAACCATAAGAACACGTTAAATGAAAGAAGCTAGTAACCATACATGCCAATATCTCTATTCATATGATATTCCAGAACAGATAAACTTACACAGACAGAAAGTATCCTGGTAGTTAGTTTGCCCAGGAATGCAAGGAGCAGTTTTAGCAAAAAGACTCTTGAGTTTCTTTTTGAATTGATGGAGATATTTCAAAATTGTCCATGGGTTTCACAGCACTCAGTCATATTCCTGAAATGGGTGAGTCGCCCCACGTGAATTATCTCAATAAAGCTGTTATAGAAATAATAAAAAGTTCCTGACCCAGTGGCACAGGCCTGTCTTCCCAACTAATTGGAAGGACAGAGCAGGAGAATCAGAGTAAATTCAAGGCCAGCCGGGTAACTTAACAAGACCTTGTATCCAACTAAATGATAAAAAGAGAACTGGGGACATAGCTCAGTGGTAGAGCATTTTGCCTAACACAAGCGAGGCCCTGGGTTCAATTCCCAGTGTCATGTGGGGGAGGGGAAGATCTGAGGTCTTGTCAAGATATAAAAACATGAGCATTATTTTCACGAGGACACTCTCTCTCAGAGTGCACATGTAATGGGGCTCACTGAGACCCATGTGTGTATATCCATGCATGTATGTTTGTCCTGCTCTGCTCCCCTGTCCTCTCCACCCCCTGCACTTCTGTGGGCTTTTTCCTTCCCTCCAAATACTCCCTTCTGTTTAAGGCACATGCAATTCTCTGCTCTCTTGCTATTCGCTTCCTTTAGACGTCTTTCTCCTCCTTTACACTTTCATGTCACACTCACAGAACGCACATGCATATTAATCCACATAGAAATTCTGCATACGAGATGGGACATGAGGC